CTGATGACATTAAAATTAAGGCTGTAATAAGGAAAAGACAAACCGATGATAAATCAGAGGAAGAGACAAAGTGAAAACATCACTCTGATTTAGTCTTAACATTTAAAGACCTACAGAGAACAATAGTCCACCCAGAGCCCTGAGTGGACCATCAGTAGAACCAGGAGGTCCAGGAGGAGTCAGGGTTCAGACCTTTAAGGTACCACAGGAGGGAACCACAAACCCATCAGAAAGTTCACGTTAGCTCAACTAAAGGATACTAAGAGCAGTGACAAATCAGTGACGACATAGTTGGACATTGGTCTGGGTACGTTCTCTCTTGAGTTCCCCCCTCAGTCCTGTTGTTCCTGATGGAGCGTTTGGTTGGTTTTATAAATCATGACGTGTGGAGGAGACGGAAAGAGAGAGAAAATGATTGGTTACCTGCTGTGCCTTATTATCCAATGGTGGTCTGACCCTGCAGCTCTGTCACCTTTGTCAGAGTGTCAAACGGTCATGCTTTTAGTGGATGACTCATGTGTCAATCACAGCAGCGACCAATCGTATTAACTTTTCCATTTTCCAGTTTTTTTCCCTCCTCATTTCTCCTCCTTGATCATCAGTGACAGTCACCAGAAGAAGATGTTGATGTTGGAGGCTGTAGGACGGGCGGGAAAACTAGGAAGTCAAGTCCAATTTATTTACTGTTATGTAGCAAAAGTCTGTAAACAGAGGCAGGACTATTCTTTTATTTTTTATATGGCCTACGGGCGGCAGACCACTGGGCCACAGGCTGTGGACTGGTCACTTAGTCACCTGGTTAAAGATGTCTGAAGATCTGTTGAAGCCATGAGACACTAACTGTGAGTCCAAGCTCTACCGTCTGAAACTTGGGTCACAACAAACTTCTTCTTCGACCAAAAGTCTAAATATGAGTCTGTGGACCAGTTGGCCATGAGGTCGTCTGCTCCACAGTAGCTGCAACCTCTGACCTGAAGTCCTCGGTTTATATTCAGCTGCGTGTCTCTGAGTAAGATGTTTCACCTTAAGTTTCCCATCATGCCCCAGCCCCTTGCTGCCAGTCTAAGAGTCTGAGACATAAAAAAGTTCAGGTTTGTGCAACCTCTGTCAGCCTGGTCATCCACTGGTCATCCACTGTGGCTCAGGGAGGAAGTGAGACTGTTCTCAGAGAGTGGTGCTCCAAACTGGGCTCATTTCTTCAGGTCAACATTTTTAAACTGTGGGACACAGTCAGACTCCATCCTCTTCTTTGTACCAAACGTCTCCAAGTAAAAACTGAACTAGCACCGTGTGTGTGTGTTTCAACGTGTGGCTCCAGCTGAGTCACTGACGGGGTGAGGACGTCCCGCAGGAGGGAGTCAGTCGCACAACTCCTCCGCTGAAATAAAGAAGCATCAGTGAGAGCGGTTTTTAAAGCAACAGGAGGAAGACCCTTCAGCTGCTGCTTGACCTGAACAGGTGGACATTTGATGAAGGACGGCTCTGGAGCCTCATCACTCCAGACTGAGGCTCTGGAGCCTCATTATATCACAATGTATTTATTAGACACAACCGGGAATGATGGGTAGATCACAGGTCCACCACAAAAGAGTTTCTTTTTTTTTTTTTTACATCTAACGTACAGTAGTAGTGTACCTGGGACTAGCCCACAGAGAAGCACACAGAGAACTTTCATTATTGACAGCTACTGCGTATTCTCAACTCGTTGTCATCCACATTAAAATATTAAACCTTACAACAAATATTTGTAGTAAATAAATTGTGCCGTTACTGTTGTCAATAATGAAGGATGGCTTCATTATTATTATAGATGATGAATTTAAGATTATCATTGTTATATATGACCTGGAGCTGTCATTCAGTGTCATGAAACCTGAGGTCTGACGGACTGATGTCACTTCAGACTTCCGACGCAGGTTGAAAAAAAAAAAACACTTTAAGATTGGTGTTTGACATTTTAATTTTTAATCTAATCTAAGTGCTAAATGTGTTTTGCTTTGCTTATTTTGTATACAACAGACGGGCCAAAGTTGGCCCACTGACCTCGTTTTGGCACACGCTGCGTGTCCACACGTCTGATGTCTTGAATTTTGGAAACTCCAGCCGGAGCGTCCATCAGGACTTTGGCGATGTCGGAGAAAGGAGCGGCGAATGGTAGCTAAGTCTCTGCACGGTGTCACTCAGTCTCTGTGGACCCCCTGACCCACTTCCCCTTCCCCACCTCGCTCTCTCTCACTCTCTGCCCCCCCTCCCTCCCCCCCTGCTTCTTATCTGTCTAAACCTCTCTGTGGAGCACACCCCACCTGCTCCTCCCCATCACCACCTCTCTCTCCCCCTCTTTCTCCCTCTCTCGCTTCCTCTTTCTCTCTCCGTGCCCCCCCTCCCTTACACAACCCCCCCATGCTGTTTCAGAGCTGCTGCCTGTCTCTTAGCAACAACTGCACACCCGTTAGAGCTTAGTGAGTGCTTTTTACAAACACACCCAGGAAGACACACTCGTGCACGCGCACATTGACACACACATACACAGACGCCAGCGCACACTCACACTCACACTCACACACACACACATATAGGGTCTAGTTCCTCATTGAGGGCTGCTGCTGGCAGGCCTGTGAGTCTGCAGGCTTTTGTGGCAGTGAGAGAAAGATAGGAAGAGAATAGATCTGCTCTAGAGCTACCACGTACAGAACCATTGTTCCTCACAGACTGAGCTCGACGGGGCCGCGGTCCAGATGGGAAAACGGCAAGTTTTGTCGTCTCCGACTTCACAATGACACGGTGTGTCAGGATGTGTTGTTGTTGTTGATGATGCTGTTGTTGTTGTTGTTGTTGCAGTAACCACCGCCCCCCCCCAAAAAACTTTGGAAAAAAATTCACATTATCAAAACTTTTCTACCAATCAAATCACAAACTTCATTCAGTCGATGGTCGTGACCGAGACGTTCAGCCCTCGCAGCCGTTCTCCAGTGAAACAAACCTGAAAGCTTGGCCTCGGTGTGACGGAGGAAACACTGGAGCTGTGGTGGACGCAGTATTTCCTTAAACACAATGAATCACAGTCTGGGGTTCTGATTGGCTGTCATCTAAGCTCTGTCAGGATGCCCCCCCCCCCCCTGCAGAGAACAGTGGAGAGATATTTGCATGTGTGTCATTGTTTTGTGTGTGGCTGTGTGTGTGTGTGATATGTATGTCTTTATGTGCAAATCAACGTGTGAGTGTGTGGGTGGAGTGAGCAGTGGCGGCATATTTGCATGAGTCTTTGTGTGTCGGTTGGTATATGTGTCGTTTTGCGTGCGTGCCAGTGTGTGTGTGTGTGCGCTAGTGCGTGTACTTACAGTATGTGTGTGTTTGTACCAGTGTGTACATGTATGTCTAAGTACGTGCAGAAATTTTAATTAAGGCAGGAGTTTTTTTGCACTCTTCTCTTTTCCTCACACTCACACACTAACTTGCACAAGACTCTCCCACACACGCACTTTCCCTCTCATACGCACGCACACACACAGAGACACACACTCTCACAGGTCAGACGGAGCCTTAATTAATGAATGCTGTTAATTAGACAAGAGGAAAGTGAGAATAAAGATAGAAGACGGTGGGTGTGGGGGGGGGGGGCAGACGTACTGTAGCCTGGGAGGAAATAGGTGAGGGGGTTAAAGAAACTGTGTCTTGTGTGTGTGCGTGTCTGTGTGTCCATGTTTGTCTGTCCCAATTGTGTCATTCCGCAGAGCAGCAGAACGTTGAGGTTGTTCTGCTCCATGTGTTC